GTCTTGGCAATAAAAGTTTTACTCAAGTATGTATGCATGAATTCGAGAAATTTTGTAATGAAATACATCTTATGTGATAATTTAATTTATGAACTTGCTGTTAGTCAACCAGTAGGTATTGGTTGCTTTCTAGCATTGTTGTGTTCTTAAGAACTTAACACTCTAGTTGGGAAATTCTGATTATTTAGTATAAACATTATACTAAGAACTTTAAAAATTTATTTGTTCGATGCAAATAGAATCTAACATATTTATTATAATTTAGATTATTTGGTTTCTGCCTTTAAACTAGCTTCATGTGGTTTTAGAACCTATTTTTTAATTTTGTGTAAAAATCATGAGATCATTTGAAGGAACATTATTTTGTATATATGTTTATTTTGGATTGTGTAAATTCTGAAGCTTGCTAAGAAGCACTCATATGAAGGAAAACACTGATAATAAAGAGGGGGAGAGTCCCCAGTGGAGGCATCCTAACATTCATTGCCTGTTGTCTTGTTAACGGGAGTACTTTACAGGCTTCTCAAACTAGAATGTCTATGCTTGGGGTTAAGAGACAAGACGATTTCCTAGATAAGAAACTCTGTGCTGGACATTGTATCAGATTTAGTAAAGGTTACATGTTTTAAAGCATTCTTTTGTAAACTGATATATTAATGGAGTTAAATATAATTTTTTTTCCTGCTTTAAAAGTTGTTAGAGCTCTCAGGAGGCCAAGGCAGGGGAATCATGAATTCCTGGTCAGGTTAGGCTACAAAGCATGGCCTAGTCTCAAAGGGAAAAAAACTTAATATTTTAAGGAAATTTTACTCTTGGATAGTTTAATTTATACTAGGTTTTCATGTGTTCTTGGTGAAGGATTACTCCTTTTGTTAGGGATACTTTAATAAGAACAATTTGAGAACTGGCATCAATGACCATAGCAGGTAGGAGTTAGGAACATGCCTTCCTAGGTTTTTTACTGCTTCTGGCATTTGCTACCTCTATGATCATGAGTAATTAGATCTCTGCCTTACTTCCCCTTAGTGTGAATATGAGAATTAAAAGAGTAATTGAACTGTACTTAGAGTGCTAAGGTTTTTTGTTTTTGTTTTTGTTTTTTGAGATAAGGTCTCACTTTGTAGCTCTGGGTGGCCTGGAACTCACTGTGTGCAGCAGGCTGACCAGGAACTCAAAGAAATCTGCCTCCCTTTGCTTTTCTAGTGCTGGAATCAGAGGTGTGCCCCTCCCGCCATGACTCCACGCCCAGCGAAATGTATAGCCCAGGCTGGCCTTGAACTCCTGATCTCCTGCCTCTATCTCTTCAGTATCTTCTACTATTTTGTAGAGTTCTACTACAAGTAGTATTCAGTAAGCTATAAGTGGGAGGTTAGAGAGAATTGAGATGAGGAATAAAAGCTGACCCAGGCAGTGCTTTTCTTTTATAATCTGTATTTCCTAAATAATTTTAACACTGATCAGAATGATAAAAGTACTTTTAGAAAAGAAAGGCTGAAGAACTTCTTTGGATGAAGGACAACAAGTAGGGCATGAATGTTTCAGAATAACACAGATCCTGATCAGGGAAAAATACTAAAACAATAGAAATTTAAAATATGAAGTATTTATTAAATAGGATTGAATTGGTGTTAAATTTCTTGAATTTTTGGCAACTGAAATGTTTGCAGTTGGAAAGTATGTGAGGATACGTGGGTCATCAGTCATCTCAGAACTTTTCCGTAGGCTCTATGGAGCGGTGATGAAACAACACACAGTAGCTGAATAGCCAGTCAGTGAATTCATTGCTTGCCATAGCAAGCGACAGCCTTTCCTTCTAGATACATTTTCTTTGGGTAAAGAGTTGCTCATCTTAAAGTATGTTTTTAGGCTGGGTGGACTTTTGGGTTCTAAGTGGATTGGTATCATCTGTAGAAGTGTGGTCACTTGCGAGAGACTTCTGTTAGGATTGGGCTCAGAGTCACGTTTCTTCTAGTGAGTTTGCTGTCATGTATTTGTTGACTTGAAAAAACTGTTCATTCAGGTGAGTTCCTGTTGATGTTTTAGGTACATATCTGCAATCCTGCTGAAGCAGGAGGATTACTGTGGTTACAGTGTGAGTTCTAGGCCAACCTGAGCTGTAGAGTGAGACCCTGCCTCAATCCTCCCCAAATATACAATTAGTTAAAAACATTTGGTTTTGTTTTTGAGACACAGTTTCATTATGCATTCCAGGCTGGTCTGCAACTCAAGACCTTTCTCCCTCAGCTGCCTGCTTTTTGGGTAACTCTTGTCTTTAAAAAGTTTTAAATGATGGAAAGATGAGATCCTGAAGCGAAAATATCTATTGTTTGATTTGAACACAAATTAATATTCCTTCTAAAAATCAACTAATATGGACAAATGTAAAGTGGAAGTCACTGATTAATACCACATTCCAAGATAGTTTGGTGGACATTTTGGCATGCAGATGTCTCAGCTTAAGTTTCCTTGATTTGAATCCCAACTCCTCCATTTCATAGATATTTTTCTTTAAAAAATACTTAAAAAATTTATGTGTATGTGTGTTTGTGTGTGGTTGCTCAGCAAGACCAGAAGAGACTTGGATCCCTGGGAGCTGGAGTAACAGGTGATTGTGAGCTACCTGATGGGGCGGTAGGAATGGAACTCAGGTCCTGTGGAACATCAGGATGTAGTTTTAACCACTGAGCCGTCTCTCAATACTCTCGATGTGATAGTGTATCCAAATTATTTAATCTCTCTCTGCTTCAGTTTTATCAGCTGTAAAATTAATCTTTTGATAATTTGATATTGCCATTCTATGTCCATTCTTAGATGGTTATTTTCCATTTTAAAATTTTTGTTTTCTTTGGTGTTTCCTTTGTGGCTCTCAAAGTAAAGGTGCATTTTATAATTTATAGTGCATCTTAGATTATATATATATAGTGTGTGAACCTATTATTTTATGCAGAAGTAAGATCGTATAACTTATACCATTTAACACATTTAAAAATTTTACAGAACATACTTTCATAAAATTTGATGCTGAATACAGATTTACTGTATTTTGTGTGGTAGCTTCTTGGTATAGTGCTACATGAATGCACTGTAATTTACTTTATTGTTCATATATTAACCAAACATTTTGTTCTTTAATTTTTGCTCTAGTGGAAGAATTTAAGTGGAATTTGGTGGGGAAAGAGGATAGCTCAGGGATGACTTGAGTGCAGTTGAGATTTGGGGATATGTCTGTTTGACTGAAAAGGAAGTTTGGGGCAGATTATAAGCTGTACTGAGTGCTGTGTTAAAAATTTTAGATTTTATTTTTGAGATTTTTGTGGAGCTACGTGGCACTGAAGAGTAAATGGAATTTTTTTTTGTTTGTTTCATCTGAAGCCTTTTCATGTAATATCGATGAATAGATTAATTTCATTTTAAACTGGTTATGTTCACCAATTTTATTAATCATCAGGATACAGAAAAGTATGCTCAGTGTTTTCACTTTTGTTTATGAAGTTGTGAAAATAGTAAAAGAAGTTGGGTTATATAATTAGTGTCTGAAGTTTCTCAGCCAGGTGCTGTGAAGGCCTGGGTCTCAGTTGAAGATTTCTATAGAAAAATGCACAGTTTTGCTTTTCTCTTAAGAGAAATTGAAAACAGAAACTTTATATGCATCGATTTAGTCAGCAGGACTTTAGGGGAAAGTGTGGTTTTCATCCAGGATTAGCTGAATCTAAGGAAGCGTCTCCTGGAACAAGTTCTTCCCTAGCTTGTTCCATTTGGACCTCATTTGTAGTTTGGATGGCCACGTTGAAAGCATACAGAACTGGAGTGAGTTTAAGAAGCGTGAAAGGCTCAGAGATGGACCCTAAAACCAAGCTATGTCACAGAAACTGGTGGCTGGAGGTAACTTGGTGGTAGAGTGTATGCTTAGCATGCTCAAGCTCCCGGGGCCAGTGTGGGGTGGGGATGCAGTATGAGGGAAGCCAAGGGCAGTTTCTTTGACATAGTCCACATTCAATAGTGGGACCTAAAAAGACTAACCACAGCTTTGTTTTCCTTTCCAGCTTCCTCCACCTGTTTAAGTTCTTTTGATTGTTTTGTAAACTGATATGTATACACTAGCCAATATATAAGAAAAGTAACTAGGCAGTGGTATATGGGGTTATTTGAGAAAAGACACTGAGGGCAATACAGAATGAAGTACTTGACAAACTTCATGTCGAGTTCTAATTTTTTTTGGGTCTTTTTGAGACAGGGTCTCCCTGTAGCCCCAATTGGCCTAGTTCTCACTGTGTAGACCAGGCTGCCCTTGAACTCAGAGATCCGCCTGCCTCTGCCTCCTGAATGCTGAGACTAAAGGCTCATGCCGCCACTCCTGGCCTCAAGTTCTAATTTTAATTTATTCTTTATGTTCCTAATCTTTCTACTGTAAACCTTGAGATTAAATTGCCTTTAATGACTTTTCCAGAACAGTGTCCAATCTCTTTGGAAATTATTACATTATTTGTCATTGTTTTCACAAATTATTCTTATTGAGTTGAAAATGTCATGTAATATACATTGGAATGTGACTGCTACCATTGAAGATTTAGGGCTCTAGCAGCTTTTGATAAAAAGTTTGAGGAAATACAAGCCTCCCATGTTCTTGTGTGCCATGTCTTTAAGTTTTAAAATGTTTTTCAAGTCAGTTGATATCTTTGTATTTTAAGCATTTTGCTCAGATATTAAACAATTCCCTATGAGAGGGAGGGATACCTTGCTAGGATGTGGCTGTTATGGATTGGTTATTGAAATGCTTACTCCATAAGCTTTTCTCATTACTGTTGTTATCACATAGAATGGCATGTATTTTACAGTCTTAAGCTGTGACCAGGTTTGGTTACTTGAAAATTGAGAATGGATTTTGATGTATAAAATACTGATTTTAAAATTTTCATCCTGGTAGGAGCAAATGACTTTTTTTTTTTTTTTTTTTTTTTTTTAATATGATTTTTTTTTTTTTTTTTTTTTTTTTCAAATAGATCAAGAAGTTGGTGTATGTTTACCTGGTCCGATATGCAGAGGAACAGCAGGATCTGGCGCTCCTATCCATAAGCACTTTCCAGCGAGCTCTGAAGGTAATGATGAGTGCACAGGCAAATAGCTACAAGGTATTTGCACAGTTGAAGGTGTGTCATTTAAAAAGGAAGAACAATAATCCACTAACTTGCCCAGTAGTAGCTTGCAAGAGTTAAAAGGCCTCCCAATAGTGCCTATTTAATAGCCTTAGAAAGTAATTGTTATATAACCAAGCAGAACATTGCAGGGTAAGTTGCAGCCTTTGTTTCTTTATGTCAATGTAATCATTGTCATATATCAAAGAACTGTTTATTGTTATACCAACTGGTTGTTGAAAGTGTGCAAGGAGGCATTTTAAAAGATAGAAATTTAGATTTATGATACACCTTATTATGAAATGTTAGAAACTTAGTGCATTTAAGTAATAATTTAACAGCTAGAATTGTAACTACTCCTTTTCTTTAAAACACTGTTCAGAGAAGAAAATATTTATTCTTCCTTTTCCCATTTCCATGTACTGTTGCTCATGTAACATTAGCTTTCTTTTGTTCTTGTTACATTGATTCTGCTCTGTAGACACCTATTAACTATCATATGGATGCCAGTAAAATGTATAAATTTGAAATTTTGATGGGTTTTTTCCCTCCAATTTAGGATCCAAATCAGCTCATTCGTGCAAGTGCTTTGAGAGTTCTGTCAAGTATTAGAGTACCAATTATTGTACCCATCATGATGCTCGCAATTAAGGAAGCTTCAGCTGACTTATCACCATATGTTAGGAAAAATGCAGCCCATGCTATACAGAAATTGTACAGGTATGTGCTTTGCTAATCCGATTAAACATTTGTAATTTATGTGGAATGTTGTATAGCAGAGGTGCTTTTTTTAATTAGATGTTATGTCTAGCCTGTCCTTGTACTAAGTAAATTCATTGACCCAAGTTTTTCCCCCCATAAATGCATATCTTTACTTTTGTGTTGATTGTCGAGACCCCCATACATATTTTTAGGCTACTCATGACATGCACTCAGCTCTTAGTACTATGTATGGGCTTAGATTTGTATAGTCTGCCCCCTCTCCCCATATGTATTACTAGAAAATGGAGTGGCTAGGGGATTGCTCAGTGAGTAAAAGTGCTTGCTATGAAGCATGAAGGCCCGAGTTCAGATTCTCATCATTTAAGTTTTTAAAAAGCCAGGTATGGCTGTGCTTGTCTGTAATCCCAGCATTGGGGAACACAGGTCTGTAGATCCTAGGAACTCACTGGCCGGACAGTCTAACCAGAATGGCAAGCTTCTGGCTTAGTGAAAGACCCTGTCTCAAGGGAGTTACGTGAAGAATGATAAAGGAAGACTCCAAGCATCCTCCTCTGACCTCTCCATGTATGTACACAGATACATACATCTGCACACTCACATGCATGCACCACACACATAACAAAAAAGGAAAAAGTAAAAGGAAGATTTTCCCCTTATTTATTATAAAGTAGAATCTCAAATGTCCTCTGACTTCTACATGTGTGCCATAGTATGCACAAAATGCACCCACTCCAAATAAATGAATGAATGAATGAATGAATGAATGAATGTAATAAAAAATTTTAAAAGGTCTAAAGCCACAGTAATAGTTTAAGAGTATGCCTAATGGCCAGGCTGCAGTTTACTGTCCCACTTCTACTCCTGTCCCTTCCTTGAGCTTGCAGCCTAGTAGCTGGGACTGGGTGCTCTGCTACATCAGAAGTTTTCTTCTTAGTGCCTCCCATTTTCCTTGGCTTTGCCTGAGAGTTTTATAATGCATGTCTTCATTAGCAAGGTAATGTAATACAACTTTTATTTAGAAATGTGCTGTTTCTGATTTTGACCAGGCACCATAGTAAAAACATTTGCTCTCTTTAACTTTTTTCCCTTTAGGTAAAAAAGGAATTTGTGATGTAGGTACTTGCAGCTACTTTCTTGAAGTTTTCCAACTGTTTTTAAAAGTGAGCATATTCTTTAAACAGGTTAATGGAATTGATGTCTGGTTTGGTTAAAGAGAATGATCAGAATTCATTTAGTAGAAAAACCATTCATTTTACTTAAAATGTTTCTGTATGTTTCTAGCATGAAATCTTGCTGCCCTTCTTCTCTTAAAATTTCTCAGTATTTTTGAAATGAGCATTATTGAATGCTAGAATTAAAGGGAAAAGTTAATATGACTTTTAAATTTTCTAATGTATTTTAGTCTTGATCCAGAGCAGAAGGAAATGTTAATTGAAGTAATTGAAAAACTTCTGAAAGATAAAAGCACAGTAAGTATTGTCTTTTGATGTCACTAAACTAAAATTGTGATTTACTTGCCTGGTGTGATTTAACCATTATATATTTGCTGTAATTATTTTTTATTCCAGAATGCCATAACTATTAGTGAAGCGCATGTGAATTTTAAAAATATTTAAAGAATGAAAACTTCCATGTGATGAGAAGGATTGCATCTAGAATTTTAGTTTGTCACATGCTGCTTTGTCTGAGTAACAAAAGGCAAGTTAGAGAAAATCTTTAATCTGTTGCTGCATTGACTGCTTTTAGAGTTAGTCCTAGATGGGATCAAAAAGTTGTTTTAAAATGAATTATTAAGAAGTATAAAAGATATATTGAAGGGTTCTGGAGAGATGGCTTAGCAGTTAAGAGCACTGACTGCTCTTGCAGAGGACCGGGTTCAAATCCCAGCACTCACATGGCAACTAACAACTGTCTGTACCTCCAGTTCCAGGGGATCTAACACCTTCTTCTGACTTCTGTGGGCTTTGCAGAATACGGGTGTACTTAAATACATACAGACAATACACTCATATACATAAACTAAAAATAATAAATGAAATATTAAAAAGATGTATTGAAAAGCAGAGGGGCTTTAGTATTACAAATGTATGAGGTTTTTTGATAGCTAAAGAAGCCTCTTTTATTTCTTTCTAAAAATTATCTACATAATTAAAATAAGACTTTTGAGAATATATGTATCTACCTGTACCTGTTTTCCATCCTTATTTTTTTTTGTTTATACCAGTGTGATAGACAGGAATAGAGGTAACCTCTGGGGTATGTGAACAGATGATTGCAGGTGTTGTTCTGCTTGTGTTGTAGACAGGGCGTCTGTACTCACTTTTTATTACTTAAAAGTACTTAGGAAAAAGATAGGAAAAAGTTTATAGGTCATCTTAGGAAACATGGAATATTGATGTCTAGCAGGTTTCTAATATAGTTGTCACTAGTTCCGTTTGTTTTGTGGATTAGCATATGGTCTATCCTGGACATTGTGCGGTGTCAGTTAAGTAGAATATGTATTCTAGAATCCTAGTGGATTCTGGGATCGAATTCAGGTGGGCTTACCAGGCATTGTGTCAAGTGCCTTTACTGACTGAGCTATCTTGCTTGTGTTTTTACTCACCATTGAGAGTTAAGGTATTGGAATCTCTCTTTGATTCTGTCATTGTTTGCTTTGTATACTTTGGAGCTCTGATGTTGGTACATATGTATGTTTATAATTATTTTACTTGTTGTTATAAAATGTCTGTCTTCATCACTAATAAATTTACCTTTTTAGTCTCTTGTTTGATGTATGGCCAGTCTAACTTACTTAGGATTGTTTTTTGCACTGTCATTTTCCAAACTTTCACATTCAGCCTGTATTTTGTAATCGAATATTTGCCTTTTATACATATCATATAGATGCTTCTTGACTTTCACTTAAGTTTGAGAGTAATAACCATCTTCTGATTGATTGGTCCAATTAATTCATTTACAGTTATATTACTGTAGTTGAGTTTTTAGCTGCTATTTTACCTGTTTTTCTGTCTTGTGTTTTTCCTCATTCCTCCTTTACTGCTTGCTTGGGTTAAATGAATTTATTTTAGTAAAAATTATACATGTCTTACCTATTTTCTTCACTACATCTCTTTAACAGTATTGTGTTGCGTATGGCAATTATTGGATTTCCTTCCTAGGCTATCAGTAGACTTCCTTAAGGTGGAGCGTGTATCAGAAATCTTCATTGAATATCTTCTGTGCATAGCTGATATAATATAGAAAGTAAGCAAATACAGATTAGCTCCCCAAGTGAGTTCAGAGAAATTTCTTACTCCTTTTTGTCTCCTTTTTGATAGGCGGGCTATCTGCTTCCAGAGTCCAAGTATTAAACCTGTACTATCAATACTCAGATGACTTAATTATAATAATATAAAAAACACCTGGCTTCTTTAATGTATAGGACATTTGCTAAATATTGTGGAGAATGGTGAGATTTAGAAATAGATCCCTTATTTACCATGTAATTTACTATAATTTCTGCTCCATCATAGACTTAAAGAAATTTGGTGGATGGGCTGAGAGTGAAACCTCCATAGGTGCCTGTGTGTTTTTCCAAATAGGATGCTCGCCCCACCCTTTGTATTTATTTATTTATTTATTTATTTATTATTTGTTTATTTTTGAGACAAAGTCTTTGGTTGGCCTCAGACTTGCTATGTAGACTAGGCTGATCTCAAATTTACAGCAATCCTCTTGTCTTAAACTTTCGATCCTCCTGCCTCCTTCTCTTGGGGCTGGGATTACAGGCAAACACCACCACACCTGGCTAGTATGTGTCTTATCATAGGTGTAAACGATAGCCTTTGGTGTTAGAATTGAATTTGTTTCTATATTTCTGCCGTATAATAGCTATGTACTAAGCTTTTATAAGCTTTCTGTTCATGAATTTGTAGGGTTTATAATTTCTAATTCATGAAGTTTTTTGATTGATAGAGCTGTTATATACTAAATCCTCACGTGACTCCATAGTATATTGTGTTAAAAATATTCCAACTGAGAAATAGATAGCTCAAAAGGAATGTAAAGGATGTAACTGATTTATAAATTTGGGATGTCTGCTTTTGATTTTTGACCATTAATTTCCAAAATAAGGAAATTAATTCTTGCATATTATTTGTTATATTGTTAGTGATAGTAGTTAGATACTTGGTATTATTTTATTGAGTGTTTTTCCTTCTCTCTAATAGTACCATAATCAGTGTTCTCAGGGAGACCTTTCTGGGGACTTTCACTCATTCATTATAAGGCACTTATTTCTCCTAACGTGCTTTATAATATGTTTACTTTTTCTGCCTATATTAAAAAATACTAGTACTAATACGGTACAAGTGACTGTTAAAGCTAAAAATGTTACTTGTGTTATAACTTGTAATGTGAGGATCCAAATGGTCTAGCATAAATTCAAGGTGATGTCTTCTTGATTATTTCAATGTGAAAGCCACTATAAAGTTTAAAATTTTTAAAAGATTTATTTCATTACTTATGTGTGTGTGTTGACTGGGGGCGGGGATATGCACATGTGTGCTTGTGCCCATGAAGGCCAGAAGAGGGCATTGGATTCCTGGGAGCTGAAGTTTATAGGCAGTTGTGAGTCACCCAACTTGGGTGCTGGGTGCCAAACTGTGGTCCCCTGTAAGAACAGTATGTGCTCTTAACTACTGAGCCTCTCCAAGCTGAAGCTTAATAATTTATCTGTCTGTCTATCTATCTATCTATCTATCTATCTATCTATCAATCAATCAATCAATCAATCAATCAATCATCTATCTACCTACCTATCTGTCATCTAGTTAGTTTTTGCCTATTTATAAGGTTATACACTTTTATTAAACTGGTCTGAAGTCAGTGTATGGACAAGCCCTGGCTACCTCACACCTCAACCCACTCCCAGCGAGACCAAAAGCCTTCATACATGTCAAGTTCAGGGCCAAAGTGAGGAGGGCCAAAATGATTAGCCTTTCAAAAATAAAAACAAAAAAAAGTATTAAAGTGGGATTTACACACATATACACAAATACCAATACAACACACAGTTTTTCTAGTGTCTCCATTCCAGTAGTAAGAAACATGCTTCCTAGTATCTGCAGTAGATTTACATTTGTGCTCAGTTCCAGAGGGCAGAAGAAGGCAGAAGTTTCAGTACCTCTTGGGGGGCTAGTAGGATGGGCACTAACAACTAAATTTAAATATTGACTTGCTGTGGTTTTATCTTTAGTCTTATTTCTTTAATGTGATGGTAAAGTAGCTTTGTCATTCTGTTTTTGAACTTACTGTATTAGTATTTAAAAATGCTATTTGTTTTTCTACTTGGTAATTTTATAGACTGCTTCTTTGCTGAATTATTTTATTGTTTATTACTTTTTTCTTTAATTCTCCTTGCTATTTTCCTGTAATCATCTGGAAATTAAGATAGGCCTTCTCATTTTCTACTTTCTTTAAAATATATATATATATTTTTATGAGTGTATTGCCTGCATGCATGTAAGTGCACCTGTGTCATTGCATTGCCTGTGGAGGTCAGAAGAGGGCATCAGATCCTTTGGAACTAGAGTTATGGACAGTTGTTAGGTGCCATATTGGTGCTGGGAATTGAACCCAGGTCCTCTGAAAGAGCAGACAATGTTCTTAACTGTTGAGCTATCTCTCCAACCCCTCATTTTCTGCTTTCTACACATTGAATTTCTCTTGTGTTTACTCTTATATTTACCAAAGTCATTAGTAAAGCGCCTAACAAAGTAGTGGGGATGGCCCAGCATCTTTGCTTGTTTCATCTGAAGGAAATGTCTGTACTGTGTCCATTAAATCAAAGACTGGCCCTGAGGAGTTTCTCTTTATTTTTGAAATTTGGAGTTTTGTAAGGTGTTTCATTATTAATTGATGTGAGTTAATTTTTTTTCCTGATACTAGTGAACACTTTCAAAATGTACAGTCAGAACTTATTTCTAGCTAAATGTTTTTCCTTTAGGATTATAGTTTTAAATATTAGTCTTGTTAAATGGCCATGTTCTCCTCCAGAGATTCTTATTTTATATAAGTTGGATCTTCTTTGCCTGCAATGTTTGAACCACTGTCTTTCTAACTGTTTTTATTTATCTCATTTTTGTTCTCTTAGTCCCCCCCCAAGATTTTGTTTTTAATTATGTGTATATGTATGTGACTGTATCTGTACATGTGAGTGCAGGTACCCATAAAGACCAGAAAGCCTTAGATCCCCTGGGAACTAAAGTTACAGGTATCCGTGAGCTGCTGGATGTAGGTGCTGGGAACCCCACTCAGGTCTTCTGCTAGAGCAGTAGATTGTCTTAACCATGGAGTCATCTATTCATTGCCTCCTGGTTCTTTTTCTACTTTTCCTTAATGCTCTTTATTAGAATTTCATACAGTGGTTTTGTCCCAGGGACATTTTGCATTTTAGCTTTCATGTCTGTTTACTCCCCTCTCCTTC